GGTAGGAAATCTACATGGGGCAGTGCAGCCCTAGATTTCATCTGACCCAGATGTAGTCTCTTCCGACTGGCTGAATCACCAAGGCTGGGCCTCCAATATCATCCACCTCACTCTAACCTAGGAAAGGCACATGTGGGTTCTCAACTTTGAAGAATCAGGACTGGGCACTCCAGGCAGGATCGGGTGCTTACTCATTCTGTGGCTCAAAGGCCTTTGAAAGTCTGAGTGTGGCCTATCCAGGAACTGAGCTATTTGAGCACTCACAGAAATGTGCTCTTCCTATGAGGAAGTCCCTGTTTGACACTGACTTTGTTACCAGGGAAGATAGAAACTGAGGCAGAATCTCCAACCCAGGCATAAAAAATGAGCTTGATATGGGTTGGATGCCCTCAACTGCATTCATCAGATATTTGTTTTTTTATCTCTAAGTGAAAAAGGAAAGATGCCATGGTTTGTGGTTTGAATAAATCCTCTGGAATTTCCTATATTTATCTCCTTAAAGGGGACACAGCCCCCATCCCAGTGGAAAAAAAAAAAAGAAAAGTATTTTCAGAAGAGTAAAATGAGGGCACAGAATTGTACTATTTTAAGTATTTTTATTTTTTTACAACAACACAAGCATATTGCTTTAAAAAGTCAAATAGAGTTTTAAAAATGCAAAACTACAAACAACAGAGCCCTGCCCACGTCTTTCCCCCCAAATGCCTGTCTCCTGAGGCAACCACTTCCCTTCTCCTATCCCAATGCTCAGGTCCAGTGAGGAAAGGCCAGAGATCTTTGTCATCCCGGGAATCCCCACGCCTCCTTCCCAGGTGGGGCGCCCATCCTGGGACGCCTGGGACCTCTTTCTTCTTGGTCTATTTTCTTTCTAACCCATTTTTAAAGTTTAAAAGACCATCAAATCATCTAGGTCCAAACATCAAAAAAATTTTTTTCTTTGCCTCTTCTACAATCACTACTTTAGATTTTGCTGTATTCACTTGCCCTGCCCACTGTGTATGGGGTCCCCTAACAACATGGCAGGCAAGGTGCCATAACTTTCTCGTCATTTTTTCAGGATAAGAGCTGCTCAGCCTGGTGGGGAGGGGTGGGTGGAATCATATTCCCCTTCTATTTTACCAGGCCTGATGCTGGGATGTCGGAGGCAAGGAGCAAGGGCAGGAAATAAGAGTTCTTATGGCGCTAGCTTTGAGATTTGCAGAGGGAGGTGTTCCTACACTCTCTGTGGTAGTCTGGTTTTTTCTGATCTCAGTAGGTGGTGTGTGTAGTTGTTCAGAGAGGGTGACCATCAGTATCACCCTGCTTCTCCCCCTCATTAAGCATCATCAGAGGAACCCGAATAGTTCCCAGGCTCAAATTCTTTTGGAGGTTGGACATCCCACCACTTGACACAGTTATCTCTTGGAGAAAATCCCATGGTTCCAACCCTTCTACCAACCACTGGCTTCTTCACATGCAGTCATGAGACCCTTATGTTTTCTACACCCCTAATTGTCTCACAGTTCTGAGTTGGGGTGGGAGTTTCTGCCAACTTCTTCCAAGGAATGTTATCCATAGTCCCTCTAGTCTCTGCTGATATAGGCGACACTAAAGAGTCTTCTGTCTTCATAAATCTCTAGAATACCCCACAATTCTGCAGCCCCATGTAGGGCTCTTCTTAAAATTCCCTCACCACACCCTGCCTTGGCCGAGGAGGCAGGGTGAGCCTGTGAATCTCTAGGTACATCAGTCATCCAGCTAGGGGCAAAGCTCCCAGTCACCCTGCCTGTCAGAGTGATTCACTTGGGATGCTGTATCCCAGATATGGGATGAGAGAGCATTCCCTGGCCCTTCTCCACAAGGAGGGCAGGAACTCACCTCTCAGCACAAGAGATGCCCTCTCTACGAGGCAGCCCACCCTCTTCCTCTCCTCCCGGTCTTCCTCTTATTTATGGAATACTCCATTCACTCACTTGTTTATTCAACAAATATGCTAATTCCCATAATGGCTTCAGACACTGAAGACATAATTTCCTGGCCTCATGACAAAACAGGTTCCCAGGACCCACAGAGCTGGCATTTTGGTGGTGTTTCAATAAATAAATAAACACCTTCCCACAGCCATGGAGTTATACATTCTGTGAAGAAAGGATTAAGCAGAATCAGGGGCTAGAGCATGAGTGAGGGGCCCTTGTAGATAGGACAGGCCACCAGGGAAGATCTCATTTAGAGACTAGCTTTTTTGCAAATGCATGGAAGATATAAGGGGATGAACCAGGTAGTGATCTTCAGAAGCCCATTCTTGCAGAGGAACAAGAAAGGCTCTCAGCAAGGACCAGCTGACAGGGTGGCAGGTGGGCAGGACCCCAGAGAGGCTAGAGCAGAGAATGGACAGAGATAGAAAGCAGGGTGGAAAGACAAGCAGGGGCCAGATCATGAGGCCTTGGGCAGGCCATGTGAGAGATCTTTGGTTATTATTCTGGGTGTGAAGAGAAACCAGTAGTGGGTTTTGAGCAGAGGAGTCATATGACCATATCTACATCTTTGATCCTGGTCACTGCTGAGGGGACATTTAACTCTAGAAAGATAAGAACAGAGAAGTAGAGAGACCAGTTAGGGGTTATTACAGTATTTCAGGGAAGAGAGTGGATTTCAAAGAATGGAACCATGACGACTGGTTGGGAGTTACATGAAAGCAAATTTTGGCACAGAATGAGTAGGACTTAAAATTCTAACATTGAGAATAGACCAACAATGTTAGGTTTCAGGGCTGTGATGGTTTATTTTAGGTGTCAACCTGACTAGGTTAAGGAATACCTAGAAACCTAGTAAGGCATTAGTTTTAGGTGTGTCTGTGAGGGTGTTTCCAGAAGAGATTAGCATGTGGGCCTAAGTGGACTGGGTGGGAAAGATCCACCCTCAATATAGGCGGGCACCATCTAATCCACTGGGAGGCTGGAGAGAACAATAATGGAGGGAAAGGTGAGCCTCTCACTCTACTCTGCTGGAGCTAGGACACACTCTTCTCTCTTATCCATGGACATCTGAACTCAGTATTCTTTAGCTTTTGGGTTCTATGACTTACACCAGTGGCGCCCCCAGCTCTCAGGCCTTCGGCCTCAAACTGAGAATCACACCATTGGCTTTGCTGGGTCTGAGGCTTCCAGATTTGGACTGAACCACACTATTGGCATCCAGTTTTCGGATGGCCTACCATGGTACTCCTCAGCCTTCATAATCACATGAGCCAATTTCCCTAATAAATCGCCTCTCATATATCCATATGCATATCTTATTGGTTCTGTCTCTCTGGAGAAGCCTGATTAACAAGGAGTAGTGATATACTTTTACTGCCAATGTTGAGGCTGAGTATGATTTCTAATTCAGAGTCAGAAAGCCACAGGACCTCCAAAGTCTCTCCTACTGTGTGAATCTCCTCTCTTGAACACATTGTAGGTTTTCAATAACCGCACTAAATACAAGGCATCCTTTGTGTTTCAGCTAGTGCGGTGTCCAGAAAACCATAACTGAGAGCAAGCACCTCACACAGTGGTTAAGAACAGAGACTTGGCTTCTAACTTGGCTAGAGTTGTTAGTAGCTGTATAACTTTGGGTAAGCTTTGTCATCTCTCAAGACCTCTGTTTTCTTACATGAAAAGTAAAGATTAATGGCTCCTAAAGGGTTGTCATGAGGATTAAAAGATTACTCAGTAAAGCTCTTCCTACTTTATCAAAAACAAAATAAACTCTCAATATCTGTACAATATGATGTGGTATATTGGGTGTGTCCTGTGATTTGCCCAAGATCAGATACCAGTGGAGCTATGGCTTCATGCATTCAGTGAATCAATAGAGCCACACCTCCCTCTAAGGCCGTCCAGGAAAGACTCAGCATCTGGCGTGTCCGAATTTCCTCATTGCTTCCTGGTGTTTGCTCGGCTCCTGCTGCTCAGGGAGCGCAGATTAGTCATGCCTGTGCTGCTTCTCTGAACTCCATCCAAGGTTTCACAGGACCTCTGTGCCAGACCAGCTTTCTTGCCAAAGTGAGCACACCTAGAACCAAGAGGCAATAATCCTTCCTTGCTCATCAAGAGGCCTAGGAGTCCTGGAGCAGCTTCCCGGAGCCCTTCAATGCAGCTAGAACCTTAACTTTGAACCCAGGGACAAGAGCATCTCTGGACAAAGGTAACTTCTGCTGCTCACAAGCCATGTGTGGGGAACTTTCTTTCATCACTCTGTGTCTTACCTTGAGATGTTGCTGGGGACCTTGGTCCAAAGGTACAGGGCTTTTAGAGTAGCTAGTTCTACTTGGTGAATTGTAGGTTGGTGATTTGCTTACTTCCTGTTTAGGGATAACTATTGAGTTAGGCACTGAGGATCTTCAGGCAGGAAGGGTTGTAAGCAACTGGTTCTCATTGTGGACAGTCTGTGATCTCCTTGGAGAACTGTCCTGGTGCACTAACCAGAAGCCCAGAGGCAGGCGTACCCTGATAGTCAAAACACCTAATGGGGTTTGAGAGGCCATGTGCAGGATCCTTAGAGATGACAAATGGAGGAAGATGGCAGTCAGAGAAACAAGTTTGTTTCCAGTTACTTAGTAGTGTTCAGCTTGAAGTCAGGAAGAGTGGCAACTCACAGCTGTGTGGAGGGCTGGGAAGGAGAAAGACACACACTTCTTTCCTTCCTCTAAACCCAGAGACTTGGAGCACTAAAAGGCACCCAGGGTGATGTTCTGGAACCTCCTAACAATCCCAGATGTAATGGATGGAGGGCATCTCAAGGTCATCACAGCCTGGAGAACCAGGACCACCCCAGCCACAATGGAGATGGGAGTTTGCATTTGGGGTTTGCTGGCCTTGAGATGTGCTTTTCCCATCCTTACTCTCAAATAAGATCTGGGACAAGGTCTCAGGGAAATTCCTTTTAAAGAATTTTGACAACGAAATTCCAAGGGGAGGGAGAGAAACGCATAACATGTTTTCCTTCTTTCCTTCCCTCACATGGCCAATGACTGCCAGCCTCCTCTTGACCACTCCATCCGCCTTATCCTCTCCACAGAAAGCTCTGAAGACATGAAGGCCAACAATCCACTCCGTAAGTGGGGAGTCACAAACTGGCTTGGAAACCTCTCCATCTGACTTCACCAAAGACAGTAGGGCTCAAGGGCCCCTGTCATTTGCTCAGCTGCGAATGTATTAGCTCTTGCTACAACTCTCAGATCACAAAACCTGCACTTGAAAATCTCAGAGCATTTAGCTCTTTTCTTATTATCTGTATTTAGAGTTGCTTATTTATTTTGATAAAGAGAGTACAGAATAAGATAATGTACTGGTGACCAATTCAAATATTTGGGGGGTTTGTTATTGCCCAGAGACTTTATCAATCAGAAAAAGGCAAGTCACTGATACCCCTAGAAAAAAGACGAATCTTGAAAATCTCTTGTAACAATGAATGTATATAGATCCATTTAGATGCCCTGATCCACAAACCAGTGCCTGCATTATTTTTCCTCTCTTTCCCCCTATAGCCACTCTTTCTCAGAGCAGTAAGCCTGCCCCTAGGAATTCAAAAGCCATCATTACAAGGATGCTAACAATCTTGAAGTTGATAACAACTTCACGTGTGTTTTGTGCTTTTCTGTCATCTTTCAGGGGAAGAACATCCCAGATCCTTTAGTATCAGGGATTCTCTACATATGGTGTGGGTCCTGGATGGAAATTCTTTAATAGCAGTACCTGATAGCAGCAACATCCAACCTGGTAAGTGACAATTGAAGCCACTGTTGCTTCTTGAAGGGACACCAGCTCCTCTAGGGATGGAGCTAACCCTGCCTGAGACTGGTCCTAGCCCTTGCCAACTTCTGGACACCAACCCAGTGTCCACAGGAAGGGCAAGAAAGGGCAGGAAGTTTCCCCTCCATGAAGGAAAACCCATACATGGAAATGAGGTTGTGAGAGATTGGCAGCTCCTCTTACCAAAAAAGAGTATCTTCAGATTAGAAGGGATTACCCTTGCACACAACAGCTGACCTTCTCCCTGGAGCTTTTCTCCTTTCAGTTCTGATCATCACTACCTGTGTCCTCAGATTCAAACTCCCTCATCTTTGCATCACCAACCTACACAGCTTTCTAACTTGGCATCTTCCCTTATAACAATGAGGGAATATTCCTTCCTCCCATGAAAAGTCAGGCCATCTCAGCTTCTTCCCCTTTCTCCGGAACATCAATGTTTGATTTAATTCCTTTGTTTCCTGCATATTTCACATTTGTCTATATACTGAATCCTTTCTATAACTGGCAGACATACTGTAATCTAACATCTCCAATCTTAATATAAAAACCTCTTGATTCCTACATTCTACTCCTAGGATCATTCCATTTCCTTGTGCTGGTCACAGCCACAATTCCTTGGAGAGGTGGCTGCAGAACTATCCCTCACCTCAAAACATTCTGACATCTGGGCTGTTGTCTGACTGCTCCCCTTGAGCTCCTATATTCTTCCTTTTTTTTTTTGTTTTTTTTTGTTTTGACGTGATTACATTTTTATTATTTTTTTTTAATTTTAACTTCTCAATATACAATGTAGTCAATTTTCATGACCCTTTACCCATTCCTCTTCCCCCCTCTCTTTCTCCCCTCCCCCACTACATCATATCTGTTCACTTGTCTTAAAAAGTTCAAGGAATTGTTGTGATTGTTGTGTCTTCTTACCCCCCACCACCACCCTATGCTTGTTTATGTGTTTATGTGTTTATTTATTTTTAGCTCCCACAGATAAGTGAGAACATGCAGTATTTCTCTTTCTGTGCCTGACCTGTTTCACTTAATATAATTTTCTCTAAGTCCATCCATGTTGTTGCAAATGGCAGTATTTCATTCTTCTTTATAGCAGAGTAGTATTCCATTGTGTAGATATACCACAGTTTCCTTATCTACTCATCTGATGATGGACATTTGGGCTGGTTCCAACTCTAGGCTATTGTAAAGAGTGTTGCAATAAACATGGGAGTACAGGTAACCGTTTGGCATGATGATTTCCATTCCTCTGGGTATATTCCCAGCATGGGGATAGCTGGGTCATATGGTAGTTCTATCTGTAATTGTTTGAGGAACCTCCATACCATTTTCCATAAAGGCTGCACTGTTTTGCAGTCCCACCAACAGTGTATGAGACTTCCTTTTTCTCCACAACCTCGCCAGCATTTATCATTCTCAGTCATTTGTATATTAGCCATCCTGACTGGAGTGAGATGGTATCTCAAAGTGGTCGTGATTTGCATTTCCTGGATGCTGAGTGATGTGGAGCATTTTTTCATGTGTCTGTTGGCCATTCGTATATCTTCCTTTGAGAAATGCCTATTCA